GGGTTCAGGAAGTTTGCGGAGAGGTGGAATTAAAAGACAATGGGATATCCCCATATCCATAAAAAAACAAAACAACTTTCTGTTGTGAATTCGATGAAAGTTGACAGAGCAGATCGCCAGTTCTACGTTCATAATTCAGACACATTTTGTCTCAGCTTACTCCCTGCAACCCCCTTGGTGCGTGCCCTGATGTGTGTCCCGTCCTCCCTGCACTCCCCACAGCCTCCCTCCCCTTCTCTGGACTTGGTCTTTGCGTCAGTGCAGTCAGTGCGGCCCTTCCATCTCAGCTGGTTGGTTATTCGGAGTGTATCCACCTCCCCCATGCCATTGTCAGCCTGGGAGACTAGCCTGCTGTCTGGCTGAAAATTGAGCCTCTTGGCTGAGTTCAGTTCCAGGCTGAAGGTTGACGAAGGGCCATCGTCTTGGGGTCCCACCAGCCTGTGTCTCACCAGTGTCCTTCACGATCTTAAGTTCTGCTCCACATTTTCCTCCCCTCTCTCTGGACCTCTCATGGGGCCCCTTCCAGAGCAGTTGGTAGTGGCAGCCGGGCACCAGCTAGTTCTTCTGGTCTCGGGGTTTCCACGAACTTTCTGACGCCCCCTCATATTCATCCTGTTCAGTGTGACTGTGGCCGTCACCAACAAGCAGAGGACTGGGAACCTGTCCAACATGACGCCTGAGGCTGAGTCTTCTTCTTCCCGTGGGGCTCCAGTGCCCGACCCAGTGTCTCTCTCTCAGGGTGACCACAAGCACACTGTAGGGCAACACGGCACCACTGTGTAAAGAAGGCCTGGCAGATGGGTGGCTTGGTCGCTCTTCTCGAAGTCCCCCAGGCCTCTCCCCTCGGGGTGGGTGCTGGTGGAGAGTCAGGTGGCTGGCTTTCTTTCCAGCTTTCCCACGTTGTCCCACAGTGAGTGGCTTACACACACACGCACACGTGTGAGGGCCGTGGGTACAGGTTCTAGAAGAGAGGCAGGTAGAGTGGATGAGGTGGCAGGGGGTTAGATGGGGTGTCAGGGGGTCGGGCCATGGTGACCTTTCCCCACGGCCAGTGTGGTGTGGCTCAGCTCTTCCTGCTACCGAGGCTTGGGCCTTCCCTCCTGGGATCCAGCTCACCTACATTTCAGCAAAGGCCCACGTGGGGTGGTGCGCACTGCCCCCTGCAGGCAGGTTTCTGGGAAGGGAAGCGGGTGGGCAATGCCACATCTCAGATCCCCTCAGCAGGGGCCTCCTGGGAGTCTGGCTGCTGAAGGCTCCGATGTAAAGAGACAGGCCCCACTTCAGTGCTGCAGAAAGCCAGCGCAAACCCAAGCCCAGCAGCAGGGAGGTCCACTAAAAGGAGCTCTGGGGGTGCAGCTGTGACCCGCCAGCCACTCTATGAGAGAAAGCTGGGGCCAGTGGTCCGCTCCTCTGAAGGTGGCAACCTTGGGAGCTCTGGGGCGCAGGCGCAGCTCTCCTTCATCCAAGGCTGCTGTGGGTCAGCTGGCCCCTTGGCAATGTGACTCCGGGTTAGGGGCAGACTGCTTTTGTTGGGAGAGAGATGGGTGACAGAACTGCCCGTGGTGCTTGACAAGGCCTGTTTCTCCTAGGGGTCACATTCTCCTTCTTCTGGAAGATGCCGGGGGAGCAGACGCGGGCCCCACCCTCTGCCTACGGAGGCCAGGTCATCTCCAATGGCTTCAAGGTCGGGTCGCGAGGTGGTGAGGGCTCTGTGGAGCTGTACACACGGGAGAACTCCATGACATGGGCAGCCACCTTCAGCCCCCCAGGTGAGTCCCCGTTGTAGGGAGCGGGCTGCACGGCCACCTTCCACCCCCCGCTCCCCCAGGTGAGTCCTGTGGTGGGGAGCAAGCCATATGGCCACCTTCAGCCTGCCAGGTGAGTCCCCATGATGCAGAGCGGGCTGCACAGTGAGACACACCCCTGCTCCTGCTCCGTCTCCTTTTCTCCCTGTTCCTCCTTCTCCTCCCCAGGGTTAGGCTGCTCACAGTTCAAGCCCACCAGCCTCACCCTGGGAGAACCACGAGGCAGTCTGCTCCCCTAAAGACCTAGTCTCAGAAACCCTACCTATGGTCCCTGTGAGCTGGAATGCACTCAATGGCAGTGGGAATCCTGGCACCGTGGGTTATGTGTTGCACCGCTCACTGCAAGGTCAGCAGTTCAACCCCACCAGCTGCTCCGTGGGAGACAGAGGAGCCTGTCTGCTGCTGTAAAGATTGACATTCTCTGAAACCCTGTGTAGGGTGGTCATGAGTCGGGCAGCAGTGGATTTGGGGTTTCAGGAGCCACAAGGGAGGCTCTTGACCAGGGAGCCCTGGTGAAGGTGGTAGTGGGAGTGGACACTGCTGACATCGGGATGGGCGACATGGGTCATGCGGATGCGATGTGCTAGGTGGGGGTGTCCGCTGGCCTGTCTGAAGACCATTCCCAGGACTTACCGTGGCTGGCTTGTCTGCTGGCATGAGCTGTGGAGGAGCTGGGAGTGGGAGCAGGAGGGGACTGTGGAGAGGGCAGGTGATCAGGGTTGGACCCTCCAGGGTCAAGACAAAGAACTGAGGGTCAGAGGTCAGGGCATAATGAAGGTACAGATTCCTATCTCAGGATGACAGGCACACCTCACAAGGGAGCGCAGCTTCATTGTGCTTTGAAAACATTGTGTGCGCGCGTGCATGCATGTCTGTGTGCACGTGTATGTGCATTTGTATATGTGTGTGCATGTGTGTACACGCGCGTCTATATGCACACGTGTTTGTTCATGTGTATATGGGTGGGCATGTGCATGTGTGTACACGTACGTGTCTGTATGCACATGTGTATGTGTGTATATGTGCATGCATGTCTGTGCACATGGGTGTGCATGCCTGTGCATGTGTATGTATGTGTGCGCATGTATGTGTGTGTGAGTCCTGCCTTGAGCAGGTCTGCTGGCCCTGTTTCCCCCACAGTGTGAGCTCACTTCCTGTCAGTGTGTCCCATGCTGGCCATTCTGACAGCATTCCAAACCTTCCCATCCTACACTGCACACGCCTAGAGGACAGGTGAGTGAGCCGCAGCAGCATGCTCCCAGGCACCAGGAAACCAAACCGGTCATGTGACTTACTTTATTGTTGTCTCTGCTGCACTGTGGTCATCTGCAAGTCTGTCTGTACCTGCATGGAATCACTGATGCAAACTCCACTCTCTGGCCTGTTTAACAGAGGCCGCCCAACCTCTCTGCTAAAAGCCCTCACCCCGACGCCCTGTGGCCCAGGCTCCTGTCTCCCTGCTGTCCGTGCCTGCTGTGTGGCCATTGGCAAGTGCATCACCTCTCTGTGTTGCTCTCTCATTCATAACACCGGGTACTGGCAGTGGCACCCAGAGGGCTGCTGTGAGAATCAAGGTAGCTGGTGGAGCGTGAAGTGCCTGGTGGTTCACACCTACCCAGCAGCTCTCGGGGAGAGAGACTGCAGCCTGGAAGACCCCAAGGGGCAATTCTCTTCTGACAAGTTGGCATTGACTCTTTGGCACCCAACAACCATGCCCACCCAGCGCCTCAGGCAGGGGCATAACAGGACTGAACATACATACTCCGCTTCTGTCAGGCCCTGTGTGCCCACACTGCACTCTTCAGCGAGGATGCATGGCCAATCTCGGTTGTGCAAACTCGCACACCTGTTCTCTCTGTCCCCAAGGTCTCAGGTGCCCTGCCCCATGCCGAGCTGTCTGCACTTGGTCCACACTCTTATCATGTCCCCCCTGTTATCAGCATGTTTGTATAACAACTTTATCTCCCTGCTTCTCGGCACTGGCGGCCCAGACTCAGCAGCCGGCATCTGGGAGAGCCTGAGAACAGGCTTTGGGTGAATGTCTGCTGACTTTTCCCACCAGGAAGAAACAGGAGAACGGCAAACATGTTTGCCTGGCAACATGCCCCTTGTTTGTGCACAGAAGGCCTTGCCGCACCTGCTGTCAGCCATACTCTGGGCCCATTTAGGGTTCACACGAAGAACGCCCGCTATAACTGTGGCCCGGGTACCAGCTGTGAGTTCTGAAGTTGTCCCCACACAAGCAGTGGGGAAACACACTGGGCACCTTTTGGGCGAGTGGCTGAGGGTGCCTGGGGAATGTTGACCCTCTCACTGATGAGCAGCCAGGGAGCTCCCCATGGAGACGCACTGGGCTCAACTGGTTAGTAGCCCGAGGGCAGTGGGGCTGGGTCAGCCCTGGCAGGTTAACTGAGCTTCTTGAGCTGAGGGCTGCTCCTTATGACCTCATTTCAAAATCAAACTCTCCAGCTTCTGGGTGGGGGGTGGTGGGGGGGGGATGAAAGAGGCAGCCACACATGTCCTGTTCTCTCGTGGACCTGGTGGGGGCTGAGCAGGGTCCCCTCACCTCGGTGGGGCAGCCGTCCTCCCCATCCCAAGGGCAGCACAGAAATCCCACCGTCACTTCTGCTCTCTCCCAGCCTCTGTCACAGGCCTACAGGCGGCCGGTGCGGCCACGGCCACAGCAGCTCCCTGCAGCTGGGCGCACCGCCAGCAGTCATAGAGACCCTCTGTGGGCCGGCACGTGAGCTCTGGCTCAGAGTGACGTAGCCGGGACACTGTGACCCACTGGTGCAGACAGGGACATGGACCCACTGGAAGCCCAGACACACTGCCCTTCGGCTGGGTGACAGACGGAAATGGCTCCCTTCGGGGGTCGTAGATGTGAGATTTCTGGTGCCAGGTTACCAGGCCTTTCTTCTTTAGTGCCCCTAGGCAGGTCAACTGCCCAGCTCAAGGTCACTGTCAGAGCAGAGCACTGCCCGGCCCCATGCCGTCCTCACAGGCTTGGCTGGGTCTGAGCTCGCTGCCACAGCCATGGTGTCAGTCCATCTCCGGGACGATCGCCTTGCTTTTCACACGACGTCCTCCGGGGACTGCCCCTCCTGGTGACATGCCCAAAGTTTCGCCATCTTGCTTCTAAGGAGCATTCTGGTTACCCTTCCTCCCAGACAGATTTGATTTGTTGTTCTCAAAAACTCACTGCAGTTGAGTTGACTCTGACTCATGGAGACCCTGTAGGACAGAACAGAACTGCCCCCGTGGGTTTCTGAGGCTGTAGATCTTTACAGGAGCAGAAAGCCTCCTCTTTGTCCTGTAGAGTGGCTGCTGGGTTTGAACTGCCGACTTTGCAGTTAGCAGCTCCACGCAGCACCCAGTACACTAGCAGGGCTCCTGGAACCATGGTCTGGTCAATCTTCCTCACCAGCCCATCGTTCACAGACACGGATTCTTCCTCTTCGCTGTACAGTTGTCACATGCATACACAGAGACTGAAAGCACCATGGCTTGGGTCAGGCGCACCTCAGTCCTCAGGCTGATAGCTCTGCCTCTCAGTCAGTGGTCACTCCACCCAGTTGATCCTGACTCAGGGAGACCCTGTAGGAGAGAGGAGAACTGCTCCTATGTGTTTCCGAGTCAGTTTTCACCTCCCTGGCCAGAGTGTGATCTGAGGTCAGCCTCCTTCTTGTGCCCTGAGGGCTGAGGCCCGGCAGGGGTGTTAAGGCCCAGTCAGGCACGAGGAGGAGGACAGGTGCCCCCTGCATCCAGCACAGCCACTCTCCCTCCTGCAGGCCCCTACTGGACGCATGTGCTGTTCACCTGGAGGCCCAAGGAGGGCCTGAAGGTCTACGTCAATGGGACGCTGAGCACCTCGGACCCCAGCGGCAAGGTGGCCCACGCCTATGGGGACCCCAATGCCAACCTGGTGATCGGGGCCGAGCAGGACCCATCCCGGCGTTATGAGAACGGTGCCTTTGATGAGTTCGTCATCTGGGAGCGGGCACTGACCCCGCACGAGGTGGCCATGTACTTCTGGGCAGCTGTTGGTCAGTGTCGGGCGTGGAGGAGGGAGAGGGGAACAGGTAGGGGTGGGGGGAAGGAGAGGGGGCCGGTTCTTCACCCATGGAGACACCCTTCCAAGCCACCTCTTCCCAACACACAGTGTCCTCAGGAGACGGTAAAAAATCACTGCCTCCAAGCACCAGGCCAACTCACAGGAGAGAGAGTAGCATGGCCCCATGGGTTTCCGAGACTGTGCGCCTTCATGGGCGCAGATGGCCAGCGCTTTAATGGCTGTGCCACCAGGGCTCCATCGTCTCCTCTGTGAACCAAACCAGACCCACTAACGCCGGGCTGATCTCCATGCTCACCGAGTTGGAGCTGGAGGCTGGGGTCTTGGTGCCCCCAGAAGTTCCCATCCCCGCTGGGCCTGTGGCCAAGGATGCCCCATCCTGCTCAGCCCCGTGGCCGTATCCCAGCGAGCCCGGTTCAAATCCCTCCTCGGCACGGGACTGTGGGAAGACACCCCCACCCCCACCACCAGTTAACATAAAATTCACCCAACACAAAATTCACCTTTTGAGTTGTTTCAGTTCACTCTCGGGATTTTGATATCGGGCGTTTCTGAACTCCAAACATGGGAAATGTGGTGAGGATGGTGCAGGGCCGCGTGGTGGCTTGTTGTGTTGAACTTGAGCCTGCTAGGCATCTGCACCAAAGCAGTGCCCCTGGCAGCAACAGCAACAGGCAACAATGTTGCCCTTCTGGTCTTACCTCTGTATTCACTCACTTCCTTCCACCCCGGGAACTCACCCGGCAAAGAGACATGCCTCTTCCTGCAGGCCCACCTCACCAATCACAATGTTTCCATGTCCCCTCCTTGGAGTACACCCTGGTAGGAAGGGACAGCCCAGGTAAGGCTGGCTTCAGAGTCCCTTGAAATAATCAGCCTGTCTCATTAGGTTGTAGGACCCCTGGTGGGGAAGTGCTTTTGTGTTGCCTACCATCCGAGAGGTCACAAGTTTGAAACCACTAGCTGCTCCACGGGAGAAGCCAGGGTTCTCCACTCCCACAAAGAATTACTGTCTTGGAAACTCACAGGGGCCGTTCTGCCCTGCCCTGCAGGGTTGCTATGAGCCGGCATCGGCTCGATGGCTGTCTTTGGTTTAGGTTTGCCTGGTGAGGCCACCACCCTTGAAAGGCCATGAGCCCTGGCTGTGTTCCCTTTCCATTTCAAATGACGGCCTTTTCAAAACCCACCTCTGTTTTCTAGATGAAGGGGTGTCCAGCCAGCACACTCATATCCAGGTGCAGCTTCCCATCTCCCTGGTTCCAGAACATTCTCATTACCCCTAAAAGAGACCCCGCCCACCCATTTGCTGCATCATCCTCATCATCATACACACACGTTCCAGCCTCCATAGCTTTGCCTGTTGAAGAAATCCCACTCGGGTGTATAGGACCCGAGTACGTGACCCCTGTAAGGTTTTGATCCCTGCAAGCCTGCAGCCTCCTCTGTAAATGCAGGGAACTTACACACCCACTCCTGTGCAAGAAGGTGCTGGTGCTGCAGTGGGGTAGGCATTGGGCCGCTACCTGAGAGGTCAGCAGTTTGACTCCACCAGCTGCCCCTCAGGAGAGAGCTGGGACAGTCTGCTCCGGCAGGTGGACAGCCTGCGGAACACTCTGGGGCAGTGCCCCTCCGTCCCCGGGGCCCTGTGAGTAGGACCCCTCTGGGCACGCAGATGTGCTCTGCCCTCTCTGGGCCTCACCCGTCACCATTCCCAACGCAGCGCCAGCCCGTTTCTCCCGGCCCTGTGTGTACTTGACACGCGCCAGTGCTTTGCATAAAATTCTCATTTTACACGTGGAGGCTGCTCCAAAGCAATTTGGAAAATAAATGGAAAGCTAATCTGACCTGGGAAAATCCATCCCATCTCCCCATTAGGTTGATTTATGAGGCCTTTACCGTCCCAGCAGGAGTCCTTTCCAAAACATTCCTGGGTTATCTCCCTGTGTCTAGCTCTGGCAGCTCCTCACAAGTGGGTGGGACAGGCCATCCGCCCATCAGTCCTCAACAGTGCCCTGTTTGTCCTTTCCAGGAAAGCACGGCGTGTCCTCGTCCTCCTCAGTGCCCCCACGCTTCCTCGTGACGCCCACTGAGGACACTTGGCTGGTGAGCAGACCAGAGTCCCCCAGCTGGGTCTGGCTGTAATGCCAGGGGCCTGGAGTCCCCTCAGACTGTTGTGGGCAGAGGCTGAGAGCAATAAGAAGCTGAGTCCCCATGGTCTCTGGCCATGGCCAGTGAGTGCTTAGAGGGCCCAGAGAATCCCTGTCCCCCGTAACCTGGGATGCCTGAAAGGACAAACCAGACCGGTGAATTCTCCACATGGGGCTGCCACCTCGCCAACACCAAAAGGGGTGACTGAAGAACAGGGATGCATGCTTTCATGTGTGTGAGGTTCAAAACCCAAGTCAGGTTGGGTCCTACAGGAGGTCCCCGCTTGTCATCCTCCCTGCCCCCATCCCTGGTCTTCAGACCAGTCCTCACCTGGCACCTGTCCTCCCTCCCCTGCCTGTGGGTCTCTGTCTGTCCTGCTGGGTCATCAGGGGCCACTCAGAAGGGAGACTTTTAGGACTCACTCTCAGTTGGTAGGACCTCGTCACTGTAACAAAAACCAAAATCTCAGTGCCAGCAGGTCCGTTCCAACCACAGCCGCCCAGGTGGGACAGTGCAGAGCTGCCCCCGTGCGTTTCCCTGGCTATAAATCTTGACAGGAGCACAGAGCCTCATCTCTCTCCCTTGGAGCTGCTGCTGGTTTTGAACTGCTGACCTGGGTTCGTAGCCCAATGTGTCACCAGGCTCCTCGGGTCGGTGGTAGATACTGCAGTCGCTGGTATGATGGTGCTAATAAGCAGCCTTGCACCCTGAGCGGGACACACAGGGCTTCTGTGGGGTCCTCTCAGCCTTTGGTGCACTCAGTTAAGCACTGGACTGATAACCTATCAGGTCGGTGGTTCAAACCCACCAGCCATTCGGAGGGAGAAAGATGAGGCTGTCTACTCTTATCAAGACTGACAGTCTCGGGGACCCTGAAGAGGGTGGCTATGGGTCGGAATCGGCCGGTGGCATTGGGTGGTTTTGTTTGCTGTTCTTGGCGGAAACTCCTATCCCCAATCCCTCCCAGATGCCCACAGACGCCTACCACCCCATCATAACCAACCTGACGGAGGAGAGGAGAAACTTCCAGAGCCCCAGCATTGTGCTCGCCTACCTGCAGAACCTGTCGCTCAGCCTGCCCCACGAGTCCCTCTCGCCGGACACAGCCTGGAACCTCACTGAGGTGAGGAGTCGAGCTCCTGGCAGTGGGTCAGGAACCCCAGCCCCATACCCTGGGTGTGATCCACATGGGATATGACACCAGCTCCCTGGTGCCCCCAGCAAGAGGGAACCCCCCCTCCCCAACCGGCCTCCCTCCCTGGCCACGTCCAGCACCCAGACTGCCTGGCCCTCCACTGAGCCTGCAGCCCTGCTCTGGGGGGACCTGGGCCCCTTCCTTACCCTGTGCACCCCACACTATGTCAGCCCCTGGTGCCCACAGTGTGTCAATGGGGAGCATGTCTTCACAGGCTCCTAGGGTGCTGTGCTCAGTCAGTGGGGAGCACGTGGGATGTCTGTATGCAGTCAGCACTCAGCAGATACTGACCATCCCTCTGAGAACTGAGGGCCTGGGTCATGAGGGTGACTGTAGCAGAAGGTCGCTTGTATGCAGTCGGCACTCAGTCCGTGCTAATGCTCATTCTGAGTGCTACTCAGTAGGGTTGGGAGAGTAACAATGGCCTAGTATACAGTTGGTGCTCAATAAACAGTGACCATCCCTCTGAGGTGGGTGATAGGGTGACTGTGACAGACCGTGCCCTGTATCTAGTGGGCACTCGAGCAGTGCTCATGTTCTCTTTGAACTAATATTGAATGGGGTGATGGCGATACTTGAACAAGTATGCAGCAGGTGCTCAGTACCTGCCCCTGAGTCCTGTCCCCTGACTTCACATAGCAGGTCCCCGTGGTGTGCAGCTGGCCCTCAGCCCAGGCTGAAGGCAAGCCTCTTGTTGGTGGTGTATAGGGAGGGAGTGGGCAGCCATGATCAAGTCTTGACTCATTAGGACACAGGTTGATGAACTGTGTCTGTCACCGTGGGCAGCAGGCTCAGGGGTGAGGTCCTGGAGTCCTGACCACCACTGCTAACTTTGGCTCACTGTTAACCGGTAGGCTGAGCTCTGACCCCCTCCTGGGCAGCACTGGGCAGTGTCTACAGCCCCCCTGGCATGTAAGGAAACAAGCTGAGCACTGTTCTTTTGCCCACCTTTAGACCTTCTTACAAGCCATGGGCGAGGTCCTGCTCCTGCCCAGCTGGACCGACGTGTCAGAGGTAAGAGGAGAGGGTGTCTGGGCCCTGGTATGGGAGTGCCTCGGGGACCTGGTAGCTTCCTGGGCGTGACATCATGCAGCCCAGTCTACGTCTAAGAAGGAATGTGTCCCCTCAGCCCTGAGGTCTGCACCGTCATACCTCACCATGCAGCAGCCAGCGGCCCCTGAGGGCTCCAGAGCTCTGGGCCTTCCTTGGGGACAGACCCCCGCTTGCTCCCAGACACCAGGCAGGAGCCCGCTGGCTCCACGGAGCAGGCCTTGGCGGCCATTCTACATAGTATGAGCTGCCGCCACACTGTTCTTGGGTGGTAGAAAAAACCCCGCATATACCACGTACCACTGCTGGATTAAGGGAAGCTACGTCAGCACACAGCTATGTGCAGGGACCTACTGTGTGTGCATGCAAATAATGCACGAAATAATCGCAAGCCCTCTGGTGTGCATCCCTCAGAGGGGTGTTATCTGGGGAAATATGGCGTATGGCGTGTTCAAGTACAAAGCTTCTCCCTTACTCCGGACTCCAAGTAATTAGAAAGGGGAACGGAATTGCTTTTGTTTTTATTTCTTTATTTTATTTTTATTTGGTTTTTAATCTTTAAATCATTTTATTGGGGGCTCTTACAGCTCTTATCAACATCCCTCCATCCATTGTATCAAGCACATTTGTATATATCTTGTCATCATTTTAAAAACATTTTCTTTCTACTTGAGCCTTTGGTATTAGCTCATTTCCTTCCTCCCTCATGAACCCTTGATAATTTATAAAAATTTTTTCATGCCTTACACTGACCGCTGTCTCCTTTCACCCACTTTTCTGTTGTCCATCCCCCTGGAAGGGGGTTATATGTAGATCATTGTGATTGGTTCCCAGTTCTTCCCCACCTTCCCCTTACCCTCTTGGTGTCTCCACTCTCATTATTGGGCCTGAGGGGTTTGTCTGTCCTGGATTCCCTGTGTTTCCAGTTCTTATCTGTACCAGTGGACATGCTCTGATTTAGCCAGATTTGTAAGGTAGAGTTGGGATCATGATAGTGGGGTGGTGGTGGAGGAAACATTAAAGAACTAGAGGAAAGTTTGATGTTTCATTGGTGCTATACTGCAGCCTGACTGGCTCTTCTCTTCCTTGTGACCCTTCTGTAAGGGGATGTCCAGTTGTCTACAGATGGACTTTGGGTTTCTACTCTGCAGCCTCATTCACATTGATATGATTTTTTGTTCTGGGTCTTTGATGCCTGATACCTGATCCCATCGATACTGCATGATCACACAGACTGGTATGCTTCTTCCATGTGGGCTTAGTTGCTTCTCAGCTAGATGGCTGCTTGACTATTTTCAGCGCTATAAGACCTCAGACGCTGTATCTTTTGATAGTAGGGCACCATCAGCTTACTTCGCCACATTTGCTTATGCACTCATTTGTCTTCAGCAATCATGTCAGGAAGGTGAGCATCACACAATGACAGGTTATTAGAACAAAGTGTTCTTGTGTTGAGGGAGTAGTTGAGTAGAGGCCAATATCCATCTGCTACCATAGTACTTAACATGCATATATGTATATAGATCTATTTTCCTATCGTTATATGTAAGTATATATTACATATGTACATACCTGTATTTAAGCCTCTATAAATGTCCTTTGCCTCCTAGTTCTTTCCTCTATTTCCTTTTACTTTCCTCTTGACCCACTATCATGTTCAGCCTTCATTCGGATTTCAGTAATCCCTCTCAGCTACATTGCCCTTGATCAAGAGTTTTTATTTTATAAAATCACTTTGATTGTTTTTATTTAGTTTAAGCACTAAACAAGCAAATGTGTTCGAGAAAAGCTAGAAAATGCAAATAATAATTTTAAAATGTATGAAGTAGACATTTTCTGAAATGAAAATGGTTGTTGACACCTTTGTATGACTCCCAGCTGGGCCAGCATGAGGACTGAGGGCCTGGGCAGGGGAGGAGAGGCCGTGGGAAATCCCTGCCCTCCCATCCTCATCCTGAAGAAACATGGGGGCCCGGAGCCCTACTATGGGGAGAGGGCAGGCCAAAGACGTTCTCAGTGAGGAGTTTGAACAAGGTGGCCCAGTCCTGAATATATAAGCACGGAGGCTTCTGAGCTGGATGCCTGATGGCTGGGCCTGCCCGACCACCTGGACCAGATGGTGGGGGTGGTCTCCTGAGACGGAGCCTGTCTGTGTGATCTCGCTTTACCTGAAATTGTAGGAAGCCTGTCAATCTTAAACCACTAGTCATGAGAGGATGGGGTGCCTCCTCTGACCCTCAAATGGGCAGAATTTTATATCGGGGGGTCAGCTCTGTGCCTGCCCTCCACCAGCCCAGTCCTCACCTGCTCCTTGTCCGCTTATCCCCAGGACCCGACTGTGGTGCTGGGCCTGATTGAGACCATCGACGTGGTGATGGGCCACATATCTGCCAACCTGGATGCCTCCAAGCCCCAGGTCACCATCAATGGCTCTTCCTCCATGGCAGGTAGTGTGGACATACCAGTGTGGGGACCTAGGAGCCCCACTCCCACGGCAGTCCCTGACCTCCCGAGCGCACACACTGTCTCCATCTGGCTTCCTGGCTTTCAGGTCATTTTGTCTCCATCCCCCCAAGCAGCACCATTTTGTTTAGTCCTTTGTTTTATTCATTTGTCTGCCTTCCCTGTCCCCCAAGGCAGGAGCCCTGGTGACTGAGTGGTTGCATGTTGGGCTGCTAACCAAAAGGTGAGCAGTTTGATACCCCCAGTCAGGCTCTGCAGGAGAAACGTGGGGCTTTCTGCTCCCATAAAGAGTTACGGTCTTGCACATGGCCAACCCCACTATGAGACGAGATGCTCCTCACTGGCCCATGGCCCTGCGGGGGACAACACCAGGAACACAGTGTGGGAATTGCGCCTG